TCAAAAAAAGCAGCGACCTTCTGCTGATTTCTGTGCGCCTGGTATCTCAGATTTGAATTTAACCGTTTTCTGCCCTGTGAGCGGTGGAAAGTGGAGGCAGAAAATGAGAAAAAGAAGATCGAAAAAAGAGAGCAACGAAATACAAAGAAAAACAAGAAAAAGAGAGAATCAAAAAAAGCAGCGACCTTCTGCTTATTTCTGTGCGCCTGGTATCTCAGATTTGAATTTAACCGTTTTCTGCCCTGTGAGCGGTGGAAAGTGGAGGCAGAAAATGAGAAAAAGAAGATCAAAAAAAGAGAGCAACGAAATACAAAGAGAAACAAGAAAAAGAGAGAAATCAAAAAAAGCAGCGACCTTCTGCTGATTTCTGTGCGCCTGGTATCTCAGATTGGAATTTAACCGTTTTCTGCCATTTGAGCGGTGGAGAGTGGAGGCAGAAAATGAGAAAAAGAAGATTGAAAAAAGAGAGCAACGAAATACAAAGAGAAACAAGAAAAAGAGAGAAATCAAAAAAAGCAGCGACCTTCTGCTGATTTCTGTGCGCCTGGTATCTCAGATTTGAATTTAACCGTTTTCTGACCTGTGAGCGGTGGAAAGTGGAGGCAGAAAATGAGAAAAAGAAGATCAAAAAAAGAGAGCAACGAAATACAAAGAGAAACAAGAAAAAGAGAGAAATCAAAAAAAGCAGCGACCTTCTGCTGATTTCTGTGCGCCTGGTATCTCAGATTTGAATATAACCGTTTTCTGCCCTGTGAGCGGTGGAAAGTGGAGGCAGAAAATGAGAAAAAGAAGATCGAAAAAAGAGAGCAACGAAATACAAAGAAAAACAAGAAAAAGAGAGAAATCAAAAAAAGCAGCGACCATCTGCTTATTTCTGTGCGCCTGGTATCTCAGATTTGAATTTAACCGTTTTCTGCCCTGTGAGCGGTGGAAAGTGGAGGCAGAAAATGAGAAAAAGAATATCGAAAAAAGAGAGCAGCGAAATACAAAGAAAAACAAGAAAAAGAGAGAAATCAAAACAAGCAGCGACCTTCTGCTGATTTCTGTGCGCCTGGTATCTCAGAATGGAATTTAACCGTTTTCTGCCCTGTGAGCGGTGGAAAGTGGAGGCAGAAAATGAGAAAAAGAAGATCGAAAAAAGAGAGCAACGAAATACAAAGAAAAACAAGAAAAAGAGAGAAATCAAAAAAAGCAGCGACCTTCTGCTTATTTCTGTGCGCCTGGTATCTCCGATTTGAATTTAACCGTTTTCTGCCCTGTGAGCGGTGGAAAGTGGAGGCAGAAAATGAGAAAAAGAAGATCGAAAAAAGAGAGCAACGATATACAAAGAAAAACAAGAAAAAGAGAGAAATCAAAAAAAGCAGCGACCTTCTGCTGATTTCTGTGCGCCTGGTATCTCAGATTTGAATTTAACCGTTTTCTGCCATTTGAGCGGTGGAAAGTGGAGGCAGAAAATGAGAAAAAGAAGATCGAAAAAAGAGAGCAGCGAAATAAAAAGAAAAACAAGAAAAAGAGGGAAATCAAAAAAAGCAGCGACCTTCTGCTGATTTCTGTGCGCCTGATATATCAGATTTGAATTTAACCGTTTTCTGCCATTTGAGCGGTGGAAAGTGGAGGCAGAAAATGAGAAAAAGAAGATTGAAAAAAGAGAGCAACGAAATACAAAGAGAAACAAGAAAAAGAGAGAAATCAAAAAAAGCAGCGACCTTCTGCTTATTTCTGTGCGCCTGGTATCTCAGATTGGAATTTAACCGTTTTCTGCCATTTGAGCGGTGGAAAGTGGAGGCAGAAAATGAGAAAAAGAAGATCGAAAAAAGAGAACAACGAAATACAAAGAAAAACAAGAAAAAGAGAGAAATCAAAAAAAGCAGCGACCTTCTGCTGATTTCTGTGCGCCTGGTATCTCCGATTTGAATTTAACCGTTTTCTGCCCTGTGAGCGGTGGAAAGTGGAGGCAGAAAATGAGAAAAAGAAGATCGAAAAAAGAGAGCAACGAAATACAAAGAAAACCAGAAAAAAAGAGAAATTAAAAAAAGCAGCGACCTTCTGCTGATTTCTGTGCGCCTGGTATCTCAGATTTGAATTTAACCGTTTTCTGCCCTGTGAGCGGTGGAAAGTGGAGGCAGAAAATGAGAAAAAGAAGATCGAAAAAAGAGAGCAGCGAAATACAAAGAGAAACAAGAAAAAGAGAGAAATCAAAAAAAGCAGCGACCTTCTGCTGATTTCTGTGCGCCTGGTATATCAGATTGGAATTTAACGGTTTTCTGCCCTGTGAGCGGTGGAAAGTGGAGGCAGAAAATGAGAAAAAGAAGATCGAAAAAAGAGAGCAGCGAAATACAAAGAAAAACAAGAAAAAGAGAGAAATCAAAAAAGCAGCGACCTTCTGCTGATTTCTGTGCGCCTGGTATCTCAGATTGGAATTTAAAGGTTTTCTGCCCTGTGAGCGGTGGAAAGTGGAGGCAGAAAATGAGAAAAAGAAGATCGAAAAAAGAGAGCAGCGAAATTCAAAGAAAAACAAGAAAAAGAGAGAAATCAAAAAAAGCAGCGACCTTCTGCTTATTTCTGTGCGCCTGGTATCTCAGATTGGAATTTAACCGTTTTCTGCCATTTGAGCGGTGGCAAGTGGAGGCAGAAAATGAGAAAAAAAAGATTGAAAAAAGAGAGCAACGAAATACAAAGAGAAACAAGAAAAAGAGAGAAATCAAAAAAAGCAGCGACCTTCTGCTTATTTCTGTGCGCCTGGTATCTCAGATTGGAATTTAACCGTTTTCTGCCATTTGAGCGGTGGAAAGTGGAGGCAGAAAATGAGAAAAAGAAGATCGAAAAAAGAGAACAACGAAATACAAAGAAAAACAAGAAAAAGAGAGAAATCAAAAAAGCAGCGACCTTCTGCTGATTTCTGTGCGCCTGGTATCTCAGATTAGAATTTAACCGTTTTCTGCCATTTGAGCGGTGGAAAGTGAAGGCAGAAAATGAGAAAAAGAAGATTAAAAAAAGAGAGCAACGAAATACAAAGAGAAACAAGAAAAAGACAGAAATAAAAAAAAGCAGTGACCTTCTGCTTATTTCTGTGCGCCTGGTATCTCAGATTGGAATTTAACCGTTTTCTGCCCTGTGAGCGGTGGAAAGTGGAGGCAGAAAATGAGAAAAAGAAGATCGAAAAAAGAGAGCAACGAAATACAAAGAAAAACAAGAAAAAGAGAGAAATCAAAAAAAGCAGCGACCTTCTGCTGATTTCTGTGCGCCTGGTATCTCCGATTTGAATTTAACCGTTTTCTGCCCTGTGAGCGGTGGAAAGTGGAGGCAGAAAATGAGAAAAAGAAGATCGAAAAAAGAGAGCAACGAAATACAAAGAGAAACAAGAAAAAAAGAGAAATTAAAAAAAGCAGCGACCTTCTGCTGATTTCTGTGCGCCTGGTATCTCAGATTTGAATTTAACCGTTTTCTGCCCTGTGAGCGGTGGAAAGTGGAGGCAGAAAATGAGAAAAAGAAGATCGAAAAAAGAGAGCAACGATATACAAGGAAAAACAAGAAAAAGAGAGAAATCAAAAAAAGCAGTGACCTTCTGCTTATTTCTGTGCGCCAGGTATCTCAGATTTGAATTTAACCGTTTTCTGCCCTGTGAGCGGTGGAAAGTGGAGGCAGAAAATGAGAAAAAGAAGATCGAAAAAAGAGAGCAGCGAAATACAAAGAGAAACAAGAAAAAGAGAGAAATCAAAAAAAGCAGCGACCTTCTGCTGATTTCTGTGCGCCTGGTATATCAGATTGGAATTTAACGGTTTTCTGCCCTGTGAGCGGTGGAAAGTGGAGGCAGAAAATGAGAAAAAGAAGATCGAAAAAAGAGAGCAGCGAAATACAAAGAAAAACAAGAAAAAGAGAGAAATCAAAAAAAGCAGCGACCTTCTGCTGATTTCTGTGCGCCTGGTATCTCAGATTGGAATTTAACCGTTTTCTGCCATTTGAGCGGTGGAAAGTGAAGGCAGAAAATGAGAAAAAGAAGATTGAAAAAAGAGAGCAACGAAATACAAAGAGAAACAAGAAAAAGAGAGAAATCAAAAAAAGCAGTGACCTTCTGCTTATTTCTGTGCGCCTGGTATCTCAGATTGGAATTTAACCGTTTTCTGCCCTGTGAGCGGTGGAAAGTGGAGGCAGAAAATGAGAAAAAGAAGATCGAAAAAAGAGAGCAACGAAATACAAAGAAAAACAAGAAAAAGAGAGAAATCAAACAAAGCAGCGACCTTCTGCTGATTTCTGTGCGCCTGGTATCTCAGATTGGAATTTAACCGTTTCCTGCCATTTGAGCGGTGGAAAGTGGAGGTTATTAATTATGTATAATATTGCAGAAATATTTGGGACTGCTGTTTCCAAATAATTCATATGACAAGAAAGTCCCAAGTGTGAAATTCAAGCAATATGCTTGCTATCTATCGATTAAAAATTTTATCTGGTTATACTTCAACCTGAGCAACATATAGGATTATTCCCCGTCAAAACAGGACATTTGGGGTCTAGTTGCTAATACAATTTGTGTGTTTTTTAGAGGGGTCTATAACTAAATTCGCCCCAAAAGAAGTTGTTTATAAAGAGAAATGTTAGCAGTAAGGCAGAAAATGATAACACGAGGCTCGGGGAAGGATGATTCACTTTTTTAGGGAAGGATAAATTCGGTAGAATGGTAGAAGTGGTGCACATAAAGATCTACTTTCAAAATTCTAGATCTATTAAATAGAAACATTCTTCATTCTTTAGCCATAAATTAATTAAATCTCTTTCAAAAAGCCTCACAAAAATTCTACAAAATTATGCACATTTGATGCACATTGGAGCTAAATATTACAGAATTTCGAGTCTATTCACCAAAAGTCTTAAGTCTTAAACATATTCACACATATGTGAGTATGTTTGTGTGGTGTGGCACCCAAATGAATCATTAGCTTAGCGTAACCAGAGTTCATACGCAGATGAGCAATTATTTGAATTCAATCTCTCAGTCACTCCCATCTATAATGATGTCACCGTTGGCTGGTAGGGATAATCTACAAAAGGAAAAGATAGGAAGTTAAATGAATGCCAGATGGAAGTTGTTCGTGTTTTGCGCACCTGAAGATTTCAGATCTCCCTTTTCATTGAAATTGTAGACGCGTGCATTAATGACACTGAAATCGGTCTGACTGGATTTCCTGTGGAAGGAGAAAGATGTTTCACATAGAACTTGGCAGTCGATAGAGATCGCAGCTTACACACTGATGGCCCACCAGCACACGCGTATGCCCCGTTGCACAAGAGGGCGAGGGGAGGAAAGAAGGAGGGGCCACTGGGTGTGGCGCGTGGAGCCCTGGTCTTCTTATTAAAGGTATCCGTTATTAATCCTCTACATCCTCTACAGGGCATAAAATATCGCATACTGCAATGCGTCTGGTACGGGAGTCGAAGGCCGGCCGGCAACGTGTGCAAACACCAGCCTCGTCCGGTGGTCATGAAGGTCTGCAAAAGTCCTGGCTGCCAGTGTAAGTATTGATCGTGGACAAACAATAAACCATGAAAATGCCTTAAACCGTCTTGATTTTCTTTCGCAGTATCATCTTCGGCGGCCCAGCAATGTCGGGACTCGTCGCGCTATTGCCGCAACGCCCGGTCGATGGGTCTCCTGCATCGCTACAAGGAGAAGTGCTGCAGCTCCTGCCAGCAGCAGCCCAACCAATATATTTTCCATTAGCTTCTGGCGGGATGGCAACGGCAACGGCAGCGGCAACGACAACTACGAATTCTGTAGACCTTATCGACCCTTGACAGGTCGTTTTAAGGCCGTAAAGAAGTTAGAATTGATTGAAAACTTGATATAAAACCTCAAGTAGAGCCTGAAACATAGATTCTAAATTAGGTTTCGTTGTTTTTTTCGATTTTCTAAAAAAAACTACTATTTCTGTGAACTGCAGATTTTATGGGTATTTTTCTTGTCATATAAAACATGAAGATGGAATGCAAATGCAATAGGATTTCTTTAATGTTCTAATGCGTACATGCAAAAAGGTATTACATGTTCAATTTGGAATACTGGAAGAGCCTCAAAAATAGTCCTGAAAGTGGTGACTTCACTGCTGCACTACTATTTCAATGACCACGGCTGTAAGTACCAATTCCCTGCATATATATACATATATATACATATATATAGAAAGATATACGTTTGTAGAAAATTTTATCGTAATGAAAAGTTCTCTGAAAAATGTAAATTTATTTACAGTGATTAAACCACTAACCATACAGTATCCTGTATGGTTTAACCGCGGGAAATACGCTCCTTGTACCTCCAAACTTTTCTTTAATTTAGATGTAACACAAATCGGCTTTGTTTTGTTTATTTTACATTATGAGCTGTTTTGAATGTGATTAAACTATGATATTCTCTCCCAGTCGTTCAATCTCGTCCAAGATGAAATCTAGCTCATTACTTTGCAAAACGGGAAAGCAGGTGAAGACCATCCGGAAGAAGTTACCCAAATTGCGAGCTTTCAGAGGTGAATATCCTACCATCAACGTGCCGCTGTACGCCATCTGCTCCTTAATTTTTGGGGCTACCTATAATTTAAACACGAAAACAGAGTAGTATTGGGTTTAAATAAAACAAATAATACTTACTGTGTATAAGCTAGTCCACCAATCAGTGGTCTCCTCGTTGGCTGGTACCCGCATAGCCTTGGGTATGTACCAGAAGCAGACATTGGAGTACTCATGCTTCTGGAGTACGAGTCTGAAGCGGTCGGGACGTTTACGAAGTTTATCCTCCAACAATCTGCCCATGTCGATGGCGTGGTCAACCAAGTGTCCATACTGCCCATAGCCCCGAGCCTTCAGCATTAGCCAAAACTTGAACGCATCTATCTTGCGGCCGCACTGCACACTCTTGTTTCCCGTATCATAGGAGACGTCGTAGAACTTGTCCTGATGGAACAGATAGTGCGCTTCCACACTGTTGCAGCGTTCCAGCAAATTTTCCGACTCCCGCGTCAGGAACAACGAGCACTGCAGCGGAACTCCAACCGTCTTGTGGGGATTCCAGGCAAAAGAATTCGCACGCTGGAGGCCCGCAATCAGGGAACGATGCTTGTGCGATAAAAGCGCTGCCCCACCCAGGCAAGCATCTACGTGAAGCCACAGTCCGTGTCGCTTGGCTATATCGGCAGCCCCGTTGATATCATCGAATGCTCCAAGCACAGTGGTTCCAGCCGTACAGTTTACAAAGAAAGGCTGTGCACCACGAGCCTTTGACTCGATTATCTTTGCCTCCAAGTCGTCCAAAAGCATTTGACCACGTTCGTTAGTTCTCACAGCCACACAATTGTCACTGCCGAGGCCCAGCCAGTGGGATGCCTTCACCAAACTGTAGTGGGACTCCTCGGAGGTAAACAGCACCAGAGGCCGCATTCCGAACATTCCAGAGGTCTTCACTTCGGGCGCATACTTGTAGCGAGCCATCACGATGCCGTACATATTGGACATGGATCCTCCAGGCCCAAAAATACCGTCACCATTTTCATATCCGGCCAACCTACGAACCGTGGCAATCAGCTCTGTCTCGATCAGACTAAATACAGGTGCCACTTCGTATGTATATCTGCGGGTTGAAAAAAGATAGTGTTTATAAAAATATCATATCTGAGGAGTGAAATATGTAGAAGGTATCTGCGGATCGTAGAACCCATGGTTGGACAACAATCAATTGAAAACATCTCTTAATTCCTCGTAATCTGCGAGCTCTTAATTAATTTAAATAAAAAATGCAATCATAAAATTTGCCACCCATTAATACAGTACAACGTTAATGCTGCTGCAATCTTACGAGCTTCCATTCATGGCCTCTGTGATCAATGCTCCCGCCAATCCAAAGGGGTCAACCTGTCCGAACAATTGATTGTAAAAACGTCCATGCGAAGTTTTCACTGAATACTGGATCACCGACTGGCAAAGCTGTTCGATTTCAGCGAGAGTGCACGTCTCCGTTTCCTGGATTTTCAGATTAATCAATTCCTTGGAATGATAACATAAAAACATATTAATGTAAATACATTTACGGGTTTTATTTAAAGCTTATTATCTGTCTGTTTCTATGCAAGGCGTGTATATCTTATTCGATCTTTCCATATCTTAAACTTCTAGCATAGGGATTCAAAGAGATAAATATTCGTTGAAAACACGCACTACTTATTCTATGTCTGTCTCTTCATAGGTCCGTGTAAGTACTACTAAAACAACTATCATTTATTCAGCTTGAAGATCTGTGCATAGTACCTTACCGCTACTATCAAGAGCATTTAATTTGTTATATAATTAGCTAATTTACAACTAATTTCTTTTAAATAATGCTTGGGAGTCAACAACTGAACCCATTTTTTTTTAATCGGACAGTCACCCTGCCGTTATCTCGAGACGGGGACTTACCTTCAAACCGTCTGGCTGCAAAAATGATACGATTTTCTGCTTATTCCATTTTTGGGGATCCACACAGAATGTGTCGTCCTTCTGCAGTAGCTTGAAGACATTTTCCAGGATATTCCAATCATCCAATAATCCTTCGCGAACTCGATTCACAGCCGTTGCTTGATCCATATCACACAATATCGCCTAGACACGAATTTTCCAGTGAAAAAAACTGATTAGTTTCGGACCCTCTGTCGAACCTCAGTCGCCGCCGACGATTCAATTGGAAGTGCCTCAGCGATGTGTTTGACAGTCGCACTGCAGCTGATTGTGTCTTTACGAGTGTGTATATACGTTCTCTTGATCAAATTCTCATAAAGGTTGTTAACTGAGCCTCAACCACATACAAATGGAATGGTATAGACGTGTACGAGCACACGATTTGTGTATATGGTCGGCTGTAAGCACACGTACAGTGCCAGCAGCAATCGTGATCTTTGGGGTGAAGCCGATTTTTTTTATCACTACTTAAGATAGAAAGTTCTACATATCTAATGTGTGGATTTTATAAGAAATGTTAGACGAATACAAGAGGCTGTGCTACTATCATTAGATCACAAGTATCACATGGAAATTTGTATTCATTAGCATTGGAATTGGGTCAACATTCTATTACTTGCATTCTTAAACAATAGAAACCGTAGAGACTTTCACTTCCAGTCTTTGCACACAGGGTACTCGTGGCGTACCAGAGTATTCTCTTCGAAAGGCAGCTCGGAATAGGAGGTATCATATGGTCGAAATGACCATTTTGGCTGGCTTATCAAAAGATTCCTATCAAATTGATTAGTTTTCATTTGAACCTTTCGGCTTTTCTCTTTGTAGCTTTTGAAAGTAGAAGAGTTGAATTAAGAGTACTTTAATCAAGAGGTAATTCAATGAAAGAGATCCCCAGCTGATAAGTTGTCAGAGCACATTAAATCGTACGAATAGTACGTGAGCATGTACCTACTAAATCAGCCTTTGAATGCATATACCAACACTTGCATGCATATGTGTACATTTCTATGTATATTTGTGCTCTGTGCTTCTTACTCTTTACTGAAAAGCCGACAGAAACAGGTTTCAGACAACTATTTACGAACATATGTATGCATGGATTTGTATGGAAATTGTACTGGGTAATCGTAGAGGATTAAATAATGCTACTTTTTAAATTCAATTCTTGTAGTTTAAAAAAACCAGGAATAGGCGCTGAAGTTCAGCACTTTGGTAGCTTATCGAGATCTTCTCAGGGAACATGAATTTCCACTAAATTATTTAATCATTTAATCAGTTTGTTCACGTAAAACGGTATCATTTTAATATTTGTTTTCTTCGATTTAACATAATATTATCTTGTAGGTTTATGCATTAATTTAGATTTTACTTTTTCGCCAACAACGTAAAAATGGAAGAGGGGTTTGTGTGTGTTTTTGCGTATTATTAAAATAATCTATTTAATTTCCTGGTCTATGTGGCTGCGCAGTTTCAGTTTACGTTCGATGGTTGGTGTAGTTTTTTGTATTAACAGAACATTCTCTAGTAATCATCTAAGTCAAAGCCATCATTGTCCAATTCATCAAGCTGCATACTCTGGAAATCAACCTTATAGCGTAAGATACCTGCGAAAGTACAATGTTATCGTATTAATATCATATTTATTATGAAACAAACAGGAAATAATAAAGAGAACCAAAACTATATTAATGCAGAAATTGAACGAAAGAACAACAAAAAATTAGCTCGTGGGAATTTTAATAAAAACGGATGACCAAATAAAACATGAACAGATAAAACTGAGAAATATAGGATATGTATCCATTTTTGTATCTTTAAATTATAAATTAAAATAGCCTCTGCAAGAGTGGACAAAAACCAAAAAGATGACAGATAATTCAACTAATACAGATACTCGTAAGACTAAACATCAGAGTCTCACCTCGTTAGACATCATTAATCAGTAACTAGTTCTAAATTAATGAGGTTGCAAAAGGAGTACAGGAGTACTGGAGTAGCACTGCCATCATGTTCTGATAGGTATATTTATTTAATCGTTTTATGTGTGGTGTTTTATTTTTATTACAATTCTCATGGTTTTAATTTGTCTTGTGTACTTTCTTGTAACTCTCTCTCGGTTTAAGGTTTGAATAGGGGAAAAATGCAGATACTCGTTCTCGGGAACTCTTTGCCAGCTTAATTGGTGACACATTCGCCGTTAATCTTATGCTTTTATTTAGCTTTTTCTTTGTTTTAAATAGAATCAAAGTCAATCTGAAAACAGGGAATAATCTATCGGTATGTGAGAAAACGATGCCGTTCCATCGTTTCTGTTATTTTACGAATTATATATTGTGTTCTTAAAAGTATTCACGCGCTAATTTAAAAATTTGGTAAATCGTAGATATATGTGGGTGCACATCTAATGCACCCTGACCTGATCCGACAGTGAAATGCAATCCACCTCCGAGTGATGCAGGACCTTCCCTACTCTGGTGATAAATATTGTATAGAACGGCTACGCTGAACATAGATTAAAACTATGTGGCAAGTAAATTGGTTCCTAATCAATTTGAACGTTTTGCTTTACGAGATTTCCCCAAAAAAGTATATGGTTATTTGTTGTATGTAACGCATAATCGAGAACTCGAGACTCGCAAATAGCAACTTGCGAATCTGTTCACAGCACACTGGTGTCTAGTAATCATCGAGATCAACATCCTCCAGCGGCTCGTCAGCCTGCAGGGATTGAAAATCTACTTTGTAGCGCAAAATGCCTATTTGACACATTTACATTTTACATTAACATTTACAAATATTAAAGCCATGGCCGACCATTCGTGTGTCGTATTCGTAGTAAAGCAGCATGAGGGAAGAGGAATGGAAAAACAGTTTCAACCTTCGGCATTGATTAGCTTACAATCGATCTACAACTAAAGCTAGCTCCAGTTTAGGATGATAGCTAACGATAGTGTCTTTAGCTGTGTCTGTCTGGACTTACCGCCAATGCCGCCGAAGCCACGCACAAACTGACTGCCCTCCTGCGATTTATCGGTTATGATCTCCAGCGTGGCGCCAAATATTTTGTAGTTGTTTGCCAGCCATTCCAGCAACGGTTGAGACTCGATTAACTCCATCTCCACGCCGCTCTGTTGGT